ATTTGTAGACGTATAGGGTATCTCATTGTGACGTTAATTTGCATTTTTCTGATGGCTAATAAAATTAAGCATCTTTCCATGTGTTTATTGGCCAGTTGCAGATTCACTTTCGTGTAGTGCTGTTTTAGGTCTTTTGCCTATTTGTTTTGGATTTTTCTCTCATTAATTTTTAAGAGGTTTTTAAAAATTCTGAATTAAAGAATTTTGTTGGCTATACATACATATACATACATGTATATATATAGGAAGTGTCTTCTACTGTGGCTTGTTCTATATGCTCTTAGCTCGTCTTTTAGTGAATAGATACTGATTTTAGTGTAGTCCAACTTAATACTTTTTTGTCTTTATGGTTACTACATTTTGTGTCCTATGTAAGAAATCTTTATTTACCATAATGTCATGAAGATATTCGTCTGTGTTTTGTTCTGAAAGTTTTACTGTTTACCTTTCACACTTGGATCTATAATGCATTTGGTGTTTATAATTGTGTAGAGAATGAGGAACATGGTTAACATTCGTTTTTTTACATACGGGTTATCCAATTGACCCAGCATAACTTATTGAAAAGATCATCCTTTCTCCATTGTACTGTAATGTTACCTTTATCATAAACCACGTGACTGTGTAGGTCACTTGATTTGTGTAAAGTTATCTTTACCTGTTACGGAGTCTTCCAACCCAGGAACATGAAAGAGGACCCTTCCACTTATTTTTGTCTTTAGTTCTTCTCAATTGTTTTTTTTACTTTTCAGTGTAGAGATCTTGTACAACTTTTATTAAATTTACTCGTAGGTATGTAGTGAGTTTTTTGATGCTATCATAAATTGTACTGTTTTTAAATTTCATTTTTTGTTTGTTGCTGATATATGCAGTTGATTTTTGCATATTGATCTTGTAGTCATTAGCCTTGCCAAATTCCCTTATTAACTCGGATAGTTTATCATGGTGTCTGAGATTAATGACAGTTTTATTTCTTTTCCAATCCTAATACCTTTTCTTTCTTTTCTTGCTTTATTGCCAAATATTCTGTTATATTTCTAATGTCTTTAGGCTCTGCAGTACCTTCTCTCTCTTTTTCTTGATTAACATTTCTAAAGGTCTTTTCAGTGTGGATCCAATCAGGAGAGAGAAATCACACAATTATTTAAATAGGGAAAGTTTAATATAAAGAATTAACAACTGTAACAGGGGATTGGAGTAATGAGAGATTGGCTAGTCAGAAGTAAAGAGAACTCTCAAGAATATAGGAATAGCAGGTATAAGGAGCAGTCACCAACTCCAGGCCTGGGGCAAGGCAGAGGGCCTGAGGAAGAGCATGTGCCTCCAGGGCTGAGATCCAGGCTCTGTTGGAGGGGTCACAGCTGTGGATGGCAACTCTCCACGTCAGAATCTTCCCTTCCTCAGAGTTTGTTCTTGCTGCCTCTTGTGGGTGGTGGTTTGCTGGTTTAGTGTCTTTTCTAAACTGTTTTTGTGAAGTCTGTATTCTTTGTTATGTGTGGCCACTGAAGCATCTGTCTGTTAGCTTAATGAGTTAGCTGGTGTTTTGACAGATTTACCTCAAACACTTGTAGCTGACAAAAGGAAAAGGAAGAAAAAGAAAAGAAAAAAGAGAAAGTTATTCTTCCAGTCTTTGCGGGTTGGCTTTGCGTTGGGGTCCTCCTTTAACACTTATCCAGGCTTCTTACAGCTCTACTTTAGCTTTCACGTCCTGCTTGTTTGGAGCCAGAAGACCTGCCAGATGTGGAAGCTTAGTCTTCTCTGAGCCTTTTCTTCTTCTTCAGTCTTCTCTGAGTCTTCTCTTAGCCTTTTCTGAGCTTGTGTCCTTCCCTTGGGCATTTGCTTGGCTTTCTTAATTCTCTGGTATATGCAGAAGCTTTTAAAAGCTTTTGTTCCCACATTGATCTCTTCTCCCAACCTCTTACTTCCCCAGCCTCTTAGGCTGTTTATTGCTTGTCCCAAGTGTTGTTTCTCGTCCCACCTGTTGTAGCCACTACCTGTGCCTTTAAATGTTTTCAGCAGAAGCCACCCAGGCACGCATCCTGGCTCTGGCTGTGCTCAGAGTTGGGCAAAACAAAGGGAAGCCTTTGCACCAGTCCTTCATGGGAGCTGCCACACAGGTGAGGCTCCAGTCACAATTCTTTGAGGATGATGTCTGTATTCCTTCCTAGCAATTAGCACCTGGAGTACAGGCCACTGTTCTCATAGCTGCTGCCTGTCTGGGGCATGGAGGTGGTAGACCGGTTGTTTAAAATCCCGCAGTGCTCTCTCACACAGAGCAGCAGCTTCTTTCTTCATCAGACCTGCCCCTGGTTGTTAGAAGTTTGTGGACTGTGTTCCAGAGTTTTGCAAAAGTTGGTTCTGACAGTTTTCGCCGGCTCATTACTTGTTTTGGAGGAGGAACAGAGTTTTGGGATTCCTTACTCCTCTGTTTCAGTGACCATTTTGGTGACCAGTGGTGATGGTGCTTGTAACAGTGCCACAGAGATGTCAGGTCTCTCTGTTGTCTGCAGTGCTGCTGGCCTTTGGCTACCATGCTACTGAGCTGGGGAGAGAAGGGAGATGGAAATAACTTAAGGTAAAACATCGCAACTCGAGCATCTTACCGAGGTTCAGTTGTTTCTGTTGGATTGACGCTTCTCAGTGGGTACTGAATTTTGGTTAGTTGCAAAGTGCTGAAATGATTGATTTTAGTTGTTTAGTTGTTTAGTTGTTTAGCACATATTTTCATAGTTTTAGAGGGAGAGCAAAATCAGCAAGGTCCCCTCTCCATGATTCTGGAAGTCAGTCTCTCTTCTGGAACATTTTGGAAGAGAATAGTAATGGGAAGCATTATAAAGACAAAATAAATTTTCAAAACTATGATAATGGTATATCTATATATCAACGAAATAGACAATGTTCAGAAATAATCCCACAGTCACATGGGAATTCAGTGTATAATGGATGGCATTTTAAATCTGTGGGAAAAAGACTTGTACTTAATGATGAGAGAACAATGTAACCATTTATGAAAATTAAATGAACAAATAAATCAATGGAATGCACACTTTAAAAATGCTACTTTCAGCATAAAGAACAAGGTAAAGTGTCAGCATTCACATGTGGTACGTGGAGTAAATTCGGACACATGGCTCAACACTAAGGCTGTAAATGATGAGGGTGTGGCTTTGTTGCATGGCATTGGGGCTGTCTGCTTACAACGGCCTCTATGTAGGATCAACGTTCAGCGGCAGGTGGAGTGGTGGGGAAGGTGAGGCCTGGCAGCTCAGCGTCTAAGTGGGCGATACCGCTGCTCAGCTCGGCCTCCCATTTCTGGGCATGAAGCTGAGATGGTTGCGAGTTAAGTACTTTTCTTAGAGTTGTTTTGAGGCAAAAATCCCATGCTTATTAAGAAAAAGTATGTTTTCTGAAGCAAATATTTAGAGAAAGGAAATCTTATGGGTTTATCTTATATCTTTTAATATATTTTATTTTTTCCTACAAGAAGGCTTTTTTCCCCAGTGTTTATTTTACCTTTGCGTTTAGAACTGTCGTTACCTATAGGTAGAATTTATGTTGGCTCTTATTTTTACCTGGAGATAGCCTCGCTTTAATGGTTTGTTTCTAAAACGGTTTTTTTTTTTTTAAAGATTTTATTTTTTTCCTTTTTCTCCCCAAAGCCCCCCAGTACATAGTTGTATATTCTTTGTTGTGGGTCCTTCTAGTTGTGGCATGTGGGACGCTGCCTCAGCGTGGTTTGATGAGCAGTGCCATGTCTGCACCCAGGATTCGAACCAACGAAACACTGGGCCGCCTGCAGCGGAGCGCGCGAACTTAACCACTCGGCCACGGGGCCAACCCCCAAAACTGTTTTTTAAAATCTTTTAGTATAAAGGAAGCTAGATGACTTCATTAATAACTGTAGAATGCTAACTTCTTTAAAGTACCTGGAATTATTTTGTTAGTAGCATGCAAGTAATTTTTTAATTATGTACTTATGTTCCATTTTAATCATTATTTTCTTGTTTTCTTAACTTCACCTGAGTCTCAGAGTTCTTTAAAGTATATTAACTATTCATTAATCTTGATCCTATGGAATCATTAAGGCTTCCTTTCCTTTCTCCAAAAAAAAGTGTTATAGTCCATATACTTCACTTTAAGTAGGTGTAAACTATTGTGGTGCTAATCTTTTCTTTTTGAATATTTATTCTGTTTCTCACAAAATTTAATTTTAACCTTTTATACTGTGACAAAACTTTCATGGACTTGATGTGGGAAAGGAGCTTGAATTTGAGTTCCTAACGTGAAAGGGGCTTTACATCTATCCCCTCACAAAACCCTGACCCTGCTATGTGGCGTGGTATAATCATCCCTGTCACTGCGGCCGTGCAAGTAGGAGATGTCCTCTCTGTGTCACTGTTGAGACCCCTGAACCTTGGAATAGTTAAGCAAATTGCTCAAAGTCACGTTACTCCTAAGTGACAGGGCCAGAAGTAAAGCCAAGGTTTTCCTGACTCCAAAGCTTTTGAGCTTCTGACTACACATTGTTTTCATTACGCAAGGGATTTAATAAATATTTGTCGAACGAAGCAATGGCAGAGACCCTGAGAGCTTTCTGTCGCTGAAGCGTGTCTAGGTTTTGTATCTACTCCTGTGTTTGTTGACTGTTCACTGTGTCGCAGGCACTCTGCCCTGAGCCTTTGCTATTCTTTGTAGATACTCAGACTTTGGTCGCTTAGTTTCCATTAGGGTCAAGAACTTTTAATTTCTATTTTCTGTTTTTATTGTCGAGGTTGTTGCTTTTGTTTTGCAAATCAGCCCTGTGACAGACTCTGAACCTGAACTGTTGAGGACGTAATTCTAGGTGGAGCCAGTGTTAGCCTGACAGGCTAGGTAAACACCTGAATGCTTACTTTGATCGGAGTTGAACTCTGTGCTCTGAAATGAACCTACTTGCTGAGTTTTTCTAAGATTTAGCAAGGGGAAATAATAAATCGTTGTGGTTTTCTGTTCTCTTTCAGCTTTCAGAAGAATTATTAGATAAATGGCTCTCCTACCCAGAGTCCCAGCATGTACCCCTCTCCCAGCATATGCTTGGTTTTGCTGTGAAATCTGTTACACAGATGGTAATGGGTAGTACGTTTGAAGATGGCCAGGAAGTCGTTCGCTTCCAGAAGAATCATGGCACAGTAAGTCTAGGGCCAAATTAAAATTATTCTTTCATCACATTGGATAGTTGAATAATGCAGACTTTGCCTCTCAAGATGAAAGTTTAAGATTCTGTAGTATAGTTTCGTTGTTTTGGGCTAAAAGCAACAGTGCAAGCAATGATAATTGTCTTTTTAAAAATTACTTTTTTAAGCTCTTACTTTTTGAAATTTAAAAAGTGGAGATGACTAAAGAAATTTTCTTTTAATATTTAGCAAATATGTTATAATACTGAATTCTATAATAAAGAGAAAAAACTGTATTTAATAGACTAGACTGTGTCCTATATAAAAAGAAGTTAAAGCCAGTGGAACATTAAAATGCTAATAAAATGCATGTGATTTGAAGAAAGCCCAATTCAGTTTGAAATTCATTTACTGTGTGCCTTTCGTAGATTCACATATGGAATTTATTTATTATTTTCTATTTTTATCAATGTCAACATTAATTTATTTGGTTCAAATCATACTTAGGTCATTTACCGCATTTTGGCTCTCTGAGAAGTTTATTGCTTATTTTATTCAAATCTATAAAAACAAGTAAATAATCAAGATAATGTGTTTAAAAAAATCACTAGGAACTGTGGCTTAACACCCTGTCACTGTTTAATATTATACTTTTTCCCATTAAAATGGTTTTATTAGTTGTGTTTGATGATTAAAAAATAGACGTTTCTTCTAGAACATTCACATATTCAGGAGCATAAAAATAAAAGTGGAAAAATCACTCTAAATTCTACTTCCTAGAGTAAACTGCTCTTTGTACCCAGGCGAAATAAATTGGTTAGGGAATTCCTAAAATGTCTTCAAATTTTAATGGAGAATCAATTTTTGACTCAGTTGAGAGGTGATGTTTTTTCATGTTGGTGAGACAGCATTTTTTAAAGGAAGACCTCCACTATCATTCCCAAGATTTTCTTCTAAGCTGCTGTTACCTGTACCTATTTTATACTGGCATTTTCTTTCTCTTCCTTTTTCTTTCTTTCTTTGTAACTCAAAATAGAAATAATTTCCAACTTACAGAAAAGTTGCACCTACTACAAGGAACCCCCACTGCCTGTACCCAGGGTCGGCAGTTGTTTACATTTTGCCTCATTTGCTTTTGTCATTCATTATCTGTCTTTCTGTCTATTCATCCATCCGTCTGCCCATCTCTCTATTCATTCCTTCCCCCATTACCTGAACCCTGTGACAGTAAAGTGCAGATTTTGCCTCTTTTCCCCTAAATTCTTCAGTATTTCCTAAAAACAAAGATGTTCTCTTATATAGACAACATAGTTTTCAAACTTGGGAAATTTAACATTCATACACTAGTATTACCTAGAGCCCATATTCAGATTTTGGTGGTCAGACCTCTTTGATGTGGAACAGTTCCTCAGCTTTTCTTTGTTTTGTGACCTTGACATTTTTAAAAGTACCGGCCAAGTATTTTTTGAAATGTCCATCAATTTGGGTTTGAGTAGATTCAGATGATGTATTTTTGGAAGGAATCTGGTATTTTCTTAATGCTACCAGAAGTTGTTAAAGGAAAGTTTTCAGACCATAAGCATAACTTAAAGTCTTTCCTCAAATGATCTTTTGATGTCTGAAACACCAAGGGGTTGCTGTTGTCCAGTCAGGCCGCAGGAGTAATAACCAGTTGTGACTGCAGGGACAGTGACTTCTGCCCCGTCACTGCCGCTTGGCTGACAGCAGTGGAGAGGTGGCATCAGTGTAAGGTGCACGCCCATCTCGCAGGTGTTGGACTGTGAGGAAATGTACATGCCATGTTGAGTTGCGTACCGCTTCAGAACTGCCCTCCCAAACCATTGTCTCAGTTATCTTCCCCCAGCATTAGTGTGCTCTTTCCTTGTGCTTTGACGTGTAGAATTATTGATCCTTCAAATATTTGCCTACCTAATAAGTGGAAAATGATATTTCATGATTAAAGTTATTTTTTTACTGTTTGTGAGGTTAAACTTCATTTAATATTTTTGTGGATCTCTTGTATTCCTCATTTGTGGGCTGCTTTCTCACGTCCTTCAGCAATACTTCTATTGTTGTGTTTCTTTTTCTTACTGATCTGCAAGAGCTCTTAATTTTTATCTCTAGTTTTCATTTGCTTTCATTTTTATTTATAGTGCTTTTTAAAGAAATATTATTTTAAAACAATTTTAGGTTTACAATAAAATTAAGAGGAAGGTACAGAGACTTATATACCCCATGCATCTACACATGCACAGCCTCCCCGTTATCAACATCACTCACCAGAATGGTACATTTTTTGCCAAGGACGAACCTACATTGACAAATTGTCATCATGCAAATCCATAGTTTACCTAAGAGTTCACACTTTGTGTTGTACATTCATTGGGTTTGGACAAATGTATAATGACATGTATCCATCATTGTAATATCGTACAGAGTATTTTCACTGCCCTGAAAATCCTCTGTACTCTGCCTATTCATCTTTTCTCCGTCCCCCGGCTCCTGGCCACCACTGATGTTTTTATTGTATCCATCGTTTGGCCTTTTCAAGAATGTCATGTAGTTGGAATCATACAGTACGTAGCTTTCTCAGATTGGCTTCTTTCACTTAGTAATATGCATTTAGGGTTCCTCTATGTCTTTCATGGTTTAATAGCTCATTTCTGGGTTTTTTTGGCGAGGAAGATTGTCGCTGAGCTAACATCTCTTGCCAGTCTTCTTTTTGTTTGAGGAAGATGGTTCCTGAGCTGACATCTGTGCTAGTCTTCCTCTATTTTGTATATAGGACATTGCCACAGTGTGGCTTGATGAGCAGTGTGTAGATCCGCACCCGGGATCTGAACCCGTGAACCCTGGGCCACTGAAGCGGAGTGTGCGAACTTAACCACTACACCACTGGGCCAGCCCCAATAGCTCGTTTCATTTAGTGCTGGATCGTACTCCATTGTCTGGATATAACAGCTTATCCATTCACCTACTAAAGAACATCTTGGTTGCTTCCAAGTTTTGATAATTATGCATCAAGCTACTGTAAACATCTGTGTGCAGGTTTTTGTGTGGACGTAAGTTTGCAACTCCTTTGGTTAAATACCAAAGAGCATGATTGCTGGATCATATGGTAAGAGAATGTTTAGTTTTGTACGAAACTGCTTTTGAGGATTCTACTGATGTGTCCTCTAGCTCAGAGATTCTTTCCTCAGCTGTGACCAGTGTATGAATAAGCCTATCAGAGGCATTCTTCTTTTCTGTTATAGTGTTTTTGATCTCTAGTGTTTCTTTTTGGTTCTTTCTTAGGATTTCCATCTCTTTGCTTAGGTTGCCTGTTTGTTCTTGCATGCTGTCTGCTTTATCCTTTACCCAAGGATACTTCAGAGCCCTTATTAATATTAATCATAGTAGTTTGAAATTTTAATTTAACCATATTAATCATAGTTGCTTTACTTTCCTGGTCTGGTATTTCCAACGTCCCTGCCTGGTCTGGTTCTGATGCTTGCTCTGTTTCTTCGAACTGTGTTTTTTGCCTTTTGGTGTGCCTTGTACCTTCTTCTTGACAGCTTGACATGATGGACTGGGTAGAAGAAACTGGTGTAGGTAGGCTTTAGCGATGTGGCGGTGAGGGGTGGGGAAGGGGAGGTGTTCCACAGTCCTGCGAGTCCGTCTCAGTCTCTGAGTGAGCCTGCGCCTCTGGACTGTGGGCCCCACGAGTGCTTCTCAGTGTTTTCTGCCCCGTGAGGTGGGACAGGATGGCTAGAGTGGGCTGGAGTTGGGTAATTCCCCTCCCCCACGTGGAAGGCTAGAGCTGCCTGGAGTTGGGTATTTCCCTGCCCCGGGTCAGTTAGGCTCTGATAAGACCCCAGCAGGTCCGGCTCTGTTGACTAGTTTCCCCTGAGGGCGGGCCTTGTTGAGAACACAGTGCTTGGCCTCCCCCTACTGGAAGCCTGAGGGGATTTTCCTTCCATATTTGCTGTGGGAACCTGGTCAAGCTCCGGCAGGTAAATCTCACAATATTTTGGGGAACCCCCCTATAACTCAGTCCCCCTGGAGTTTTTAACTCTCAGAGTTGTGTGCACTGAACCTCCAGCAGTTTGTTAGTACGGTTTGGGTGTTCCTGCCCCAGCGCCGGTTCCTAAGCTGGTTTCCACTTGTGAGTCTGTTCCAGTAAGATGGGACTCCCTGTTTTCTCCTGTCTCTCCAATCTTGGGGGCCTCAGTTTGCCCCGGGTCCAGCCATGTGTTAGGGGTCCAAGAAGAGTTGTTGATTTTTTCAGTCTGTTCAGGTTTTCGTTGTTGCAATGGAGTAGCTAAATGCATTCAGCTTTTTCATTATGAATTTTTTCCCTGTGCTGTGTCATGCTTAGAAATTCCTTTCTCGCTTTGAGTATAATATAATGTAATAATTACTAATATAAATTACTAATTAATATAAATTATATATAATATATATTATAAATTATATGAAATATAATTATTATATAATTAATATAAATTACCAATATAAATTACTAATATAAACATTTACTGCACATTTTTGCAGTACTTTTTTTTTCTGAGGAAGATTTCCCCTGAGCTAACATCCATTGCCAGTCTTCTTCTTTTTTTTGCTTGAGGAAGATTAGCCCTGAGCTAACATCTGTGCCACTCTTCCTCTACTTTTTCTATATGGGTCACCACCACAGCATGGCTGATGAGTGGAGTAGGTTTGCACCTGGGATCCACACTGGTGAACCCTGGCTGCTGAAGCAGAGTGCTCGGAACTCTAACCTCCCGGCCATGGGGCTGGCCCCTACAGTACTTTTTATACTTTAATGTTTTACATTTAAGTAATCTGAAAGTTTATCTTTGTTAGGTAAGAGTTGAGGACTCTTAACTGTAATAATAATTTTTCAAATATTTAGCATTGATTAATAAGTGTTATGTTCTTTCCTCAAGTTCTTTTAGAACTTTTGAATAATAAACAAGTTAAAGTTTTTTCAGGAGCTAATTACCCAATTTTGAAATAATTGGAAGCCTATTCCATTGTTTACTATCTCCAAACCTTTGACTAATTTTTAACTTTTTTCTGGATCTCAGCCAGTGCTCACCAATATCACAGGTGAAGTAAAAATATGGAATTCCCTATGAATTTTATTTATCCACTGGTGCAATTATAATAAAAAATAGAGAATTGGCTCTATTGCCATGTTCTTTTCCTCCCCATTCCTACTCCTAATAAGAAAAGGAACTTTTGACTTTCCAATTATAACTAATTTGCAAGTGCCTTCACTGAAATTATTAAAATATAGTTGTGCCCTGTCCTCAGAGACTACGTAGTAAATGCTTATGCAGCCCACTTAAAAGGTAGAGCTTCTCAGATCCCTAGGTGAGACAGGAGTGCCTCATTTATTAGCTTAAACTGCTCGGTATTATCTAGAGAGCCTACTTATCAGATAATAGGTATGTTTTCCTATTTTCAGGTTTGGGCTGAGATTGGAAAAGGCTTTCTAGATGGATCACTTGATAAAAGTGCAAATCGGAAAAAACAATATGAAGATGGTAAGTTTTGCCACTCTTAATTTTTAATAAAGACAAAAGAAAGTATGCCCCAATTTTAGCAGGGTTATCTCTGAATCATGAAATTATAGGTCATGTGTGTTTTGTCTGTGTTTTTCTCCTACATTTCCTATAGCGAAAGTTTTTCTTTTCTTTTTTGCTAAGGAAGATTCTCCCTGAGCTAACATCCATGCCAATCTTCCTCTGTTTTATAGTGTATGGGCTGCCAGCACAGCATGGCTGCTAACAGAGTGGTGTAAGTCCATGCCCAGGAACTGAACCCAGGCCACCGAAGCAGAGCACACTGAACTTAACCACTAGCCCACCAGGGCTGGCCCCATGAAAGTTTTTCTTAAACAAAAAAGAGGACAAAGCAGTGAGTTAGTAAACAAAACTCTAGCACTTGCTGCAGAATGAAGGTGCTGTGGAACTGGTACAGCCTACAGCCTTGATGAAAGTAAGGGTAAATCCTGGGAAAGCGATTTGATGATATATATGAGAGTCATAAAATAATGGATCAGATTATCTAAAAGAAGAAAATATTCATGAGTATTTTTTTTTTTTTGAGGAAGTAGCCCTGAGCTAACATCTGCTGCCAATCCTCCTCTCTTTTGCTGAGGAAGACTAGCCCTGAGCTAACATCTGTGCCCGTCTTCCTCTGCTTTATGTGTGGGATGCCTACCACAGCATGGCTTGACAAGCGGTGCCATGTCCGCACCCAGGATCCCAACCGGCAAACCCCTGGCTGCCAAAGCAGAATGTGCAAACTTAACCGCTGTACCACTGGGCTGGCCCCTCATGAGTATTTTTTATAGTGCTATTTCTACAAGTAGAAAACCAGAAATAATCAAATTGTCCAACAATATAGGAATTAGGAAATAAGGAAATAGTATCAACATGATTAAATATTCTATAGATATTTGTAAAAAATGTAGCAACATAAAAAATTCTTGCCATTTTGAGTAAATTTGGCAATGGTTACAACATTGAAAATCTACACAGAAAAATAGCGAATTTAGTTTAAGATGTCTCCCCTAAATTTTTCTCCCTCTTTTCTTTTTGTTCTGTATTTTCTGCCAGTAATTTAATGATTGTAATGCTTTAATATGTTTATTCTGAGCTGCTTCACTTTCTTTTTTGGAAGTAGGCTGGGTAAATTAAAATACATAGGCTGCGTTGGAATAATGGATTATTTTCCATATATAATAGTATTACTTCCTGGGATTCTCTTCCTTTATTCTTTGAACGAGTGTTTATTGGGGCCTGTGTGTGCTAGGCAATATTCTATGTACAGGAGACAAAAATCCTGTCCTCATGGGGCTTCCCATTCTAGTGAGTCCCTTGATGTCCCAACATAAGTCCAGAAAAACCAATTTACTTGACACATTTTCTGGTATCTTGTTTTCATCATCATTCTGATCGTCTTGATGCATGCGTTTGGATTAATTCCCCTTAAAAAAAAATGTGTTTCACAAATATTGGTTCAATTGATATAAAATGAAAATTAATTTGTATTCTTTGATTCTAAATAGAAGTAGATTATCAAGCATAATATGTTCGTTGCACTGTCACATGGGCATAGATCAGATTTGAGCTGTCATTGAAAATGACTATGTTTTGGTATTTATATGAGTGGGATCCTGTGGCTGGATCAGTGCTTCCTTTGTTTAGGTGAGTAATTCTCAACCTGGTCTATACATTAGAATCACTTTGGGAACTTAAAACGAAAAAACTGGAGATCAGGCTCTATCCTAGACCAGTTTATTCAGAATCTGGGATAGAGGTGCCCTGGGCATCAGATATTTTTATAAAAGCTCTCCACACTATTCTGATGTGCTTGTAGGGTTGAGTATGTACCACAGTAGTTCCCAAATTTTACTACACATTGGATCTTTTAAAAAACATTGAAGCCTGGCTTCTACTCCTAAACGTTCCGATTTAATTGGTATGAGGTGTGACTTATATTTCTTATGTTTTACAGTTTTTTAAAAAAAGGTTTCTAGGTGATTCTGTGTAGCAACGTTTGGGAACCACTGTATTACAGTATTAATAGTTTCTCATTTTAATCACTAATGTGTTATATTTATTCAATTCTATAAATATTTAGTGAGGATCTATAATATCCTGGTATGTTTTTGGTGCTGAGGAGATGTCAGTGAACAAAACAAACAAAAATTCCTGTCCTTGTGGCACTACATTCTAGTGTGAAGAGGCAGGCGAGAATCTAAGTAAGTAAACTGAATAGTGTGTTAAAAGATGACAAGTGCTATGGAGAAATTAAATCAGGAAGGGGAATGGGGAGTGTTCGGGGTGGGGAGGTTGTGATTTTAAATAAGGTTTTTAGGAAAGGCCTCATCAAGATCAGGTGACTTGAGCAAACACTTGCGAAAGATAAGGAAGCCTGTCAGTGCAGATCATGTGCATATCCGCATAGCCAAAGGAAGTGTATTCCACGTTGAGGAAAAGCAATTGCAAAATCCTTGAGATGAGATTCTTCCTCACCGGGAGGTACAACCAGGAGCTGTGTGGCTGGAGTGAAGTAGTCAGAAAAGGAACAGAATGAGATGAGGCCAGAAAGACTGAGGGAGGGACAGATTTTGTCCAGCTTGTAGATCATTGTATGACTAGGTTGTTACTATGAGATAGGAAACCACTGGGAGGTTTTGAGCAGAGTTATGATCTGAGTTATGTTTTTAAAGGATCACTCTGGCTGCTGTGATAGATTATAGGAGCCCAGAGCAGAAGCAGAGAGAGTAATTAGGGAGCTGTTATGGGCTAGGACTATGTGGCAGGCAGCAGGAAATATAGAATGAAAAAAAGAGTAAGGGAGAATAATTCTGTATTTTGAAGACAAAACCACCAACATTGGCTGATAGATGTGGGTTGTAAGAGTGAAGGAGTCACCAAGGTCATTGGAAAATAAAGTTATTAGGAAATAAGATGGGGCATACTGTGGGAGAATCCAGTTTTGGGGGGAAATATCAAGAGTTCAGTTTTGGATGTGTTATTTATTTATTTCTTTAAAGATTGGCACCTGAGCTAACAACTGTTGCCAATCTTTTTTTCCCTTCTTCCAAAATCCCCCCAGTACATAGTTGTATATTTGTTAGTTGTGGGTCCTTCTGGTTGTGGCATGGGGAACGCTGTCTCAGCATGGCTTGATGAGTGGTGCCATGTCCACGCCTGGGATCCGAACTGGCGAAACCCTGGGCTGCCGAAGGAGAGCGTGCGAACTTAACCACTTGGCCATGGGGCCGGCCCCCTGTTTATGTTGTGTTTAGTATGCTTCAGACCTCCAAGTGGAGATGCTGAGTTGGTTGTTAGATATATGAGTCTAGAGTTCAGGAGAAAGGTGTCCTGACTGGAAATATAAATTTGGGAGTGTTCAGTACGTAGATTGTATTGAAAGTTTAACACTGGTGATCACCAAGGTAATGAATGTAAATAGAAAAAGAGAAGAGGTCCAGAAACTGAGCCTACAGACCTTGGACATACCATTGTTAAGAAATTTGAGAGATGAGAAGGAATCAACAAAGGAACCTGAGGATGAGCAGGCAGTAAGTGGGAGGAAAGTGTGGAATCCTGGGAGCCAAATGTGAAAGTGTTTCCTGGAGCGTAAGCGATCAACATGGGAACTGAGAAGTGCTCTTTGGATAATTTTATTGACTGTTGGATATCAGTTATTCTGTATCTTTTAGATTTCAGAAATTTGCTTTTTTGATGATTTCACATCTGTTTCTGACCCCAAATGAGTGATGCGTGACTTGGGAGAAGAGTGGAGTTGAGGACAGAATTTAGAAGGAAGGTGGATGATACCAGGGAAGACGGCTGTGTGGGTGGAGGCCTCTAAGGTGCTGGCATTGTTCTGCTTCTCAGCCTGGGTGGCGATGTTGAGGATATCTGCTTTATGATGATTCCTTAAATTGTGCATATATGTTTTATGTACTTTTTTTGTGTGTATGTTAAATTTAGCAAAAAGAAAATAGATGTTTTAAATGTAAATTAGCTTTTTTAAAATTGTTAATTACTACTCTTTTACTTTTGGAAGTTTTATTCTGCACATAGTAACATTGTACAGAAATATTAGGTCAGCACAGCTGGACCAGGTCAGAACAATGGCCCCCACCAATGTCTCAGTTTCCAGAGAGGTCCCTCCTCTCACCAAGGTGCTCCCAGAGCCCACCAGGTAAAGTATCGCCATAAGCACCAAGTGAGCAGATCAGAGTACAGAGCCTGGCTGAGAGAATGTGGTGGCCTCTAGACAAGATCCTATGCTGATATTCATGACAGCTGAAAGATCTGATGTGGCAACTCCCAGTCTGCAACACCAAGGGGTTCACCATTTCCTACCCTCTTGCCTATAACCCACTGGCATATTTAACTGTTTCAAGATTCTGTGTTCTCCTTAAGATGGTTCTTTTGGACATTAATCAGCTATCTGTCCCCTTGCTAGCAAGCTGTAATAAAAAGTCCTTTCTCTCCAAAAAAAAAAAAAAGAAATATTAAAAATGTTCAGTCTTCACAAGGGCTTATATTCTCAAATCTTCTTTGTTTTTCTTCTTTAAGCCCTTATGCAATTGGAATCTATTTTAAAGAAAATCATAAAAGAACGAAGAGGAATGAACTTCAATCAACATATTTTCATTGACTCCTTAGTACAGGGGAACCTTAATGACCAACAGGTGATGTAATTGTTAAATGTTTATCAAATAAAATATAATCACACATGTATAGAGTGTGCTTTTTATTCAGTTTAATCCAGATGCCCTCCTAGAATTCAGTGGCTTCTCTTTTATTGTACATCATCCATAAATAGTACAAGAATTTAGCTCCTATTTTTTTAGCTCTTTGAAGCAGCTGTATATTATTTAATATTTGGGTAAGCAAATATTGGACCACAATTCTCTGATCATAACAGAGGAGGACAAGTATAAACCTTTATCGCCTAAGCTGCTCTACCTGTGTGGCCAGGCATGGCAGCCTGGCTTCTTCCCAGTGTATGTCTGTCATCCCTAGCACACTGCTATGTGGTGTTGTCAGGCAAAGGACAGGACTATAGCCATTATTGCCTCACCTGTTCATTGTAGGAATCTTCTGTCCCACTCGACATGTGCAAGTCTTCATAGACAGAATTGGTTTCCAGGTGTATGTGGGTGCAGAAATCGAATCAGGCTGAGGGCACTGGCAGACTCTCCTCTGTCCTGTGGCTTTGTTGCTGTCCCAGGCCAAGCCGGAAGGATAGCGCTGAGCCAGTTTGTTTGCAAAAATGTGTCATGAGCCAATAATATTACCGATAAGTGTTTACTGCATCGAGGAGGCAACGCAATATTTAGGTTGGTTATTTACATTATTTTAAAATTTTTTTCTGAGGGAGAGTAGCCCTGAGCTAACATCTGTTGCCAATCTTACTTGGTTATTTACATTATATAGATGTTTTTTAAGTGAAAAACATCATAAAGAAATAATGCACTTTTTTCCTTTCCTTGACCATAATTCTATACTCTAGATTTTTTTAGCGTAAGGCATAATACGGGACACCTTATGTTTCACCCTTTCTAAACTTAGTTTTGTTTCCTAGATCCTAGAAGACAGTATGATATTTTCTTTGGCCAGTTGCATAATAACTGCAAAATGTAAGTATAAATTGATTTCTTTTTGAGATAGATTATAAAATATACAAGGGTAAAGCTATTCTAAAATAAAGGTAACACTCTTTGCAAGACCTCTTTATAACTTCCCTTCCCTCTTCTTTTTACTCTTGTTTGAAACGCTCTTGTACACAGGTACCTTTTTTTTTTTTTTTTTTTACCCCAGGTGCTCTGTGCCACCTCTGAACATTGCCATAAATTTCTTGACACAGTTTATGGATTGTGAATTCTAGTTAGTGGCTTTAAAATGAACTGCTATTGACACCTTTCCAACCGGAGCAGTGAGCTTTTCAATTTCCTTCTGCGGCTTTTCGCTTTGACTCCAACCCGGTCTCCTATTGTTAAGGTCTACCAACAGAGGATATAGGCCACAGAAAGCATGATTTAAAAGAATTCCTCTTTTGGTAGAAATGAAGGTGATTTTTATTTAAAATTCTAAAAGGTGTGACATGTTTCTAAGTTTCCTTACTGGTTTTTAGTTTAGCAGAGTACCATTCTTTCATACAGTGTTAATAAAAATTTGTGTATATCCGTAAAAATACACTAATATAAAATGCTGAAAGAAGTGTTAAAACATGAGTTTAAAATCCAAAAAAATTTATTTTTACTTGAAGCATTTCATTTCAAATGCTAATTAAGGAAATTTTCTTAAAAACAGTACAAATGTAAACTTCCCATAAATTTTTCTTCTTTGTAAAATTTTTGCTATCTAGAGATGTTGAGATGTTGTCAATTAAATGGAGTTTAGGTAAGTTAAAATACTACAAAATAATACAATACAATACAATACAATAGAAATAATACAAAAATAATATATTGAACCTTTTAAAGAAACAACTTGTTTAAAAATTTATTACATTAAAATATATCTTTGCGAAAGGCCTTCAAAAAGTCTGACTCGTGCTCTGGATGCCATAAAAAGTGATCATTCCAAGGTCGAATTCATATTTTAATCTTATTTGCAGTTTTGGGGGGAATTTTCAGAGTATGGCTATTTCTTTGCATATGGGTTCATTGTTTTTTAAGGCATCTCTGAAGTTTCTGAGTGGCAGACAGCGGGAAACCTTAATTAAAGTCCCCCCCTGCTACTTATTAGCCTTGAGCAAGATACTTCCTCTGTGTTTTCTCCTTTTCTCCAATACAAGTTCAGTTCTGGACGACCTCCCCAAGGTATCTTTCAACTATAAAATTGTGTCTTGGTTCAGTATTGTAATTAAAGAAAGTTTACTGGCTTAAAATCACATTTTTAAGCTATCCTAGTCGTACTTTTTAATAGAGTTCTACAAAAGAACCAGTGTTGGAGATTATTATGCTTATACAGTTATATTAATTTTAAGTGATAATATAGTCAAATAGGGTATATGAATGCCTACTGTATGCAAATCCTTGTGCTAAATCTTTCAATATTGTGTATTACTGTATATTGTTGTAAAATTGCATACATATACGTATGGCACACTGCACAAGTTTTCACATCACTGGTGAAATAGAAATTCGGCAGTTCACTCGAAAGCCATAATAAAGAAGCGTATGCAGGAAAATGTTACAGACAAGGAGTTACTCATGTGCTCTTTATGAACTCTGGATGTGAGTAAATTATCAAAATAATTGAGTACCAGATAGCTATTGATTTTTATTGATGATACTATTTAGTGTAGAAAGTGAATTATGTCTTTTCCAGGCACAGGAATTGGATAATATGTGACTTAGGCAAACATTAGAAAAAAATTAACTTTGAGACAAATTTAAGTCAGCACTTAGCTCAGGAAAAGGGTAATTGATAAATAGAGATAGAAATTACTAAACATTTTAAAATGTACTTGACGTAGAAAATGTAGAGCTGTAGATAGAGTCATCTCAAGCATAATCTAGGGAGAGAGGCACTCTGTATCTGGGTGGTTCCATTCTTTTATAGTTGTAATACCAGTGGTTCCTAAAGGAAACATAACTACTCTGTTTCCTCTGTTTTATGTTCATCATGTAATTTTCTTACCTTTTCATTTCCTCAGTGAATATAATCCATAAGCCATTTTAAGTAAAAGTAAGCCATAAGCTAGTGATTTTCCAATTTTGGTGTTCATTAAAATAATTCTGGTATTTGTTAGAAGTACAGACACCTGAGCCCCACCCTAGACCTAATGAATCAGAATCTGTGGGTGTGGGATCGTGCCATCAACCAGCTCCCAGGTGATTTTTGAGAACCACTGTCCTAAGGAATAACCACTCCCAGTTCTTGTAATGGTGTGTCTACCCTTACAAATAAAAATTTAGAATATTGATTTATAGGTAAATCTCCTGCTCCTTTGATTTGTATGAGTCATTTCATTAGGGCTTCTGAGTGCACTGATAAATAAAGTTTTTGATTTTATAGTGTTGAGTGAACCAGACAATCCATCACAGTCAGCAGCATTTTAACACTCCCCCAGGTGTGAAGTGTCTTTATTATCATTACTCTTTTACCTAAGGCAAAAGGCATTAAGTCGCTTCAGTTACTTGCCAGTTTTAAGAAAGAAATCGTCTACATTGCACTGTCTCTTTTTGGGAGTATTCTATATTCATGTTCTATTTAATGCATTACAAATCCTGTGAACAATCATGTTTTATTTTTTAGTAGCATTTATGTATCTTCTATCAGAAAAAAAGGAAAATAGCAAAAAAAAGTAAGATTTTTCTTATTCTGTACTCAAACTATGAATTAGCTATTTCCATTGTTATTAATATGACTTTTCACTTAGTGTGCACCTGGGCAATCTGTTTTTTAACCACCTCTGAAGAAGTTCAGAAAAAATTATATGAAGAGATAGACCAAGTTTTTGGGAAGGGTCCTATTACTCCAGAGAAAATTGAGCAGCTCAGGTAAGAATACAATAAAAGGAAGAGGAGCTCATTAAAAACTGGTTTAACTATCTAATTTAAAGCTAATGCTAATATCTAGGAAAGCTAAATATTTTTGTAGTACTTAAAATATTTACATACAGATTTTAATGGGTAATTTAATTTGCTTTTTAAAATCATAAAGTAGTGGGAAACCTTTGCATTAGCTTATATAAAATAGTATGAGTGATGTCAAGTAAGTGGAACCCTCATAACTGCTTGGTGGGAATGCAAAATGGTACATCCTGTTGGGAAACCATGTGGCAGAATTTTATAAAGTTAAACACACGCTTACCATATGACCGAGCAATTCTACTCCAAGGCGTTTACCCAAGAGAAATGAACACATGTGCATGTGTCCACACAGGGACTTGTTTGCAAACATTCATAGCAATATTATTCATAACAGCAAAAAACTGGGAGCAGTCCAGATGTTCATCATCTGGAGAATAGATAAATCATGTTATGTCTGTACTGTGGAATATTATCAAGTAATAAAAAGTAACACAGTATCAATACATACAATAACATGGATAAATCTCATTATTTTAAGTGAAAGAAGTCAAACACAAAGACTGCCTACAGTGTGATTTCATTTAGGTGAAATTCTAGACAAAGCAAATCTGTTGTGATAGAAAGCAGATCACTGGTTGTGTGGGGCCCGGAATGGGAGGGGATCACATTACAAAGGGGTGTGAGGAAAGTTTTTAGGGTGAGAGAACTGTTCTATATCTTGTTTGTGGTTGTGGTTACACAATTGTATGCAATTACTAAAATTCACAGGTAAAATAAGTGATTTTTTTATGTGTAAGTAATACCTTAGTTAAAAAGATTTTAAAAAACAGCAGCTATGATTGCTTAAGGGGTCGGAGTCTGAGACTGGGTAGCAAGCAACCCTATCTTGGAGCATCTTTCAACTAGTATAGAAAAGAAGATAGGGACACAGCCTTTGGAAAGAACTTAAAGCCATGGGTTTCACAAGGACACTTCTGTTACAGGTTCTTCAAAATGTTGGAAGTTTTATTTATTTGATTATTTATTTAATTATTTTTTTGCTGAGGAAGATTAGCTCTGTGCCAGTCTTCCTCCACTTTATGTGTGTGCTACCACAGCATGGCTGACGAGTAGTGTAGGTCCACGCCCAGGATCTGAACCTGCAAACCTGGGCCGATGAAGTTGAGCATGGTGAACTTAACCACTACGCCATGGGGCCTGCCCTGGAAGTTTTATTTAAATTTAATACAACTATTTTTAATTTTAAAAGTAATACATACTTTTCTTTTGAAGTTTTTGTAATACAGAAGTGTATGAAGTAGGTGGCGAAGGTCTTTTGTAAATGTCGCGTTAAGAGATAACAATTATTAACTATCTTTACTATTTTTCCAGATTTTCTCTATGCTATACATATGTATTTAAAACAAAAAATTTAAAAACATTTTAAAGTACAGAACATGTCTTAAGTTCCATTTTTTCTCTAAATATGTTGTGGACAGTAGTCTTACATGTAGCGACTTCACCACATTCAGTCAGTGATCAAGTTCTGTTGATCCTAATCTCCGTACAACTTCCAGCTGGAAGTTTAGTTTTAGCTCTTTCCATGGCCCCCACTCTGTCCACACCACCGTCAACTTGTCTGGGGTATTTCAGCACCCTTGGATCTTGCCCTGCTCCAGTCCTTTCTCCAGATGGCTCCTGGAGCCTGTGAGTGCACACCGTAGTCACTTTGGGTGCTTTAAATACAGATAACCTGGGACCAGTCCCAAACCAACAATCTCTGGGCGTGAGAAGGTGTCAGAACCTTCTCAGGTGATTCTAATGTGTAGCTGAGTTGAGAATCACTGTGCTAGTGACCTTTCTGGATCTGAGGAGTCACATCTAGTCAGGTGACTCCCCAGGTTAAAATCCTCCAGTGATTTCCAGTTGCCATTAGGGTAAAATTTAAACTTGCTAGCCTAGCCCATGAGGCTCTTCAAGAGCTAGGCCTTGCATTCCTCTCCCACCTCACCTCTTACTACGCGGCCGCTTCATACCCTGCGATTCACCTGCACTGAAATGCTTGTTTCTTCAAAGGCGCAGCACTCTTTCTCATCTCCCGGCTTTTGCAGCCCCTTCTTTGCATAGATTCTCTTTTCGTCTCTCCTCCAGCTACCTGCAGGTTTTTGCAGGTCTCAGCCTAAGTGTTTATTTTGCGCCAAGTCCTTTCTCTGATGAGGTGCTCCTGGCCTGCGTCCCCAGCGCCCTCCACTTCCTGGATCCTCGCACTTACTTTGCAGCTTTTTAAATTGTTCTTTTTTTTTTAGAAAGTCTTTTTTTTTTTTTTTAAAGATTTTATTTTTCCTTTTTCTCCCCAAAGCCCCCTGGTACATAGTTGTATATTTTTAGTTGTAGGTCCTTCCAGCTGTGGCCTGTGGGATGCCACCTCAGCATAGCTTGATGAGCAGTGCCATGTCTGTACCCAGGATTCGAACCAGTGAAACCCTGGGCCTCCGAAGCGGGGCACATGGACTTAACCACTCGGCCACAAGGACCGGCCCCTAAATTGTTCATCCTTAATGTCCCTTCCTCTCTCCCTTCCCTTGCCAACTAGACTTTGAATTCCTTTGAGAGTATCTGTCTTGTTCACTGTTGTAGCTCAGTGTCTAACGTAGTAGGTACCCAATAAATATTTGTTCAAAGAGGAAAGGATGTTTCCTCTTTTGTTTTTGTTGTTTTTAGATATTGTAAACAATCAACATTCCTATGCTTACATCTTTACTAATATTTCCAATTGTTTCTAGTAAGGGCCTAGAAATGAAATTATTATTTAAGGATATATGCACTAGTTTAGTGTTTATGATTAGTGGCTATGAGGTAAGACGGACATGGGTTTGAATCCTGTCAACACCACTTACTTGCTCTATGATCTTAAACAATTGCCTCATTTTTTAAATCTGTAAAATTAGAATAATAGTAGCATCCATGAGGTTCTTACAAGGATTAAATGAGATACTCCATAGAAAGTATTTCACAGAACTGGCTTGTGGCAAGATTTCAGAACGTTTAGCTTTTATTCTTCTCATTGTGATGCACATTAATATTTTATATTTATTGCCAAGTTACCCTTCAGAAAGGTTGTACCAATTTATACTTCCACCAACTGGATATGAGTGTGTTTTTTTTCATTTTTTGTTAATATTGTCTATTGTCACTCTTTTTCATCTTTGCTGTTCTGGCAAGTAAAAAAAAAAAAGACTGCTTTGATTGGCAGTCTTTCCATTGTTAATGAGGTTGAGTATCATTTCATGTATTTCCAGGCCATTTGTATTTTTTTGTGAACTGCTTTTTTATATTCTCTGTCCATATTTCTATTGGGATGTTTGATTATTTTAAGTATGGATTTTTAAAGAGCTTTTATACATTAAGGATATATTTACTGTGAATATTTTTCCTAGTTGTCTTTTAATTTTATTTATGATGATTGCAAATATTTAAAAAAAATTTCTGTAGTCAGATTATTTGTGTTTTTCTTTATGGTTTCTGGCATTGTGTCAATATTTTTATAATTTTTGAGTAGAATTATAAAAATTTTGTTTTGAGTTTTCTTCTGTTTTTATTTGTTTGAATTTTTACCCACCTGGACTTTATATATTTCTAATCTATAACATATTTTTATTCAAGCAAATAGGAATTATGATGTGACTATTTCAAATTAGGAAGGTTATGAAAGTTGTTGAAAGACATTTTAAAATGTATGTACATTTCAGACTGCCTCTTCCAAAGTAAAGCTCTTCAAAAAAAATTTTTTTAACAGATATTGTCGGCAAGTGCTTTGTGAAACTGTTCGGGCTGCCAAGCTGACCCCAGTTTCTGCTCGGCTTCAAGATGTTGAAGGAAAGGTTGACAAATTTATTATTCCTAGAGAGGTAGGGAACATTTGGTATGCTTAACTCATTCGCTTACTCTTTTCAACTCTTTTAGTGTGCATTTTTAAATTTTATTGTTTAAAGTGTCCAATAAATGCTACCTATTATTAAATCAAAGACATAATTGTTTTAAATGGGAAAGTACTATATGCTTATTTTAAAGTTCAAACAATATAAAAGAAAGGCTCCTTTCCCCATGAGTACTACTGTTAATAGTTTAGTGTGTATTTTTGTAGGTCTTTTTCTGTGTATGTATATTACTCTGTGTGTCTGTATGTATACACATACATGTGTATGTATTTTAAAACTGAATTTATACGTGAAAAGTTTCTCTTCATGTATTGTTCTTTAATTTTCTTCTTTTATTGAGTGCATGATGGCTATGAATACAACTGGCACTTAAAACAGATTCAACTCATTATTTTAATGATGCATAATATTCCACTGTATGACTGTACCGTGATTTATTGAAGTAGTCCCCACTGATGGAAATTTAGATTGACATTAATTTTTTTCTTATTACAAATTATATGCTTGTACAGGTATTGGGTAGAGCCTTGGAGATGGAGTTTTTTTGGGTCAAAGTGCATATGTATGTTAAATTTAAATTGCCCTCTAAAAGGCAATTTATATTTTTAGCAACAATGTATGAGAATGCTTTTTTCTCCATATCCTTACCACCTCTAGATTTATGAACCTTTTGCAAATATTTTGCAAATCTTATATGAAAAATTCTCTCATTATTTTAATTTGCTTTTCCTTGATCATTGTAGAGATTGAGCAGCTTTTCATACATATATTAACAGTTTGTATTTCTTCTTTTGTGAATTATCTGCTTGGAACTCACTCTTTTTCTAGTTAGCTTATGTCTTTTTGTATATTATATGTACTAACGCTTCCAGTTTTATGGCAAATATTTTCTTCCAGTTTATTTTTATCTTTCACTGATGCTTATAGTGTATTTTGTTTTGTTTTTACTGGATGCAGGTTTTAAATTTTTATTTAGTTAAATCTGTTACTCCTTTATGGCTTCCAGACTTCGTGACATGCTTAGGGGAGGCCTTCCCCACCCTAAGGTCACCAGAGTAATGGCCTGTCTTTTCTTCTATTATTTTATATTTTTATTTTGTATTCATTATCTATAATATAAGAGCATTTAGGATGAGTTGGCTTTCTGGGAGTCATGTTGTCTCTTTCGGCCTTGATTAACTAGAGTAACTTTTTTTTCACAGACCCTTGTCCTTTATGCCCTTGGGGTGGTACTTCAGGATCCCCGTACTTGGCCGTCACCACACAAGTATGAAATATCTGTCATTGTGTTTGTGATGATTGATTCTTATGTATTTGCATGTTTTGCATCCTTTTCCAAGTTTTGAGGAGAAAATTCAATATGTGACAATGTTACAACAAAAGAAAGCCATTGCCTTCCTTTTGTCTTCTGCTCACTACTTTTCTTCATGAATAGGCCGTCTGCTGTTCTTTGTGTCCCCTGTTACCACTTCTGTCCTAAGCTCTGTCTCGTTACCTGATCTCTACAGTTGTCCTTTAATTTCAATGGTGTTTTGGGATTCTTTTGTTGGTAAGTAGGTATTGCTTATGTAATTTCTGTGTTTTCCTGCTGTTGGTCTCAATTACTAAGCTTTTAGTCGAATTCAGAAAATAGATGTTGTGTGTGTATGTGTTGTGTGTGAGAATGGCAAGGGAGGGGAAAGATGAAGAACAAAGCTACTACTGTTTGCCTCCTACATAGGCATCTAGTGAAATCTTCCTTAAAGAAATGGGTTAAGATTTACTGCCTCGGAAGAAGGTTATGTATTGAGTTGATTAGGGTAAGACAGCTGTGGGAAGTGCAGGGGGCGAGGCTGGCATGGTTGAACTACTAGGAAACCTACTTCTGGAGTATAAGGTTGGGGCTTATTGAGTGTTCCTGTCAATTTAGTTTTTAACATTATAATGATATTAAAGAAAGTCTGTTAATAAATGAAATAGATATACGTTGGTGGAAAAATGTGTACTTAGAATTATAAAAACCTAAAATTTCAGATTTTAAAATCTTTAAAAAAAATTCTCATGTGGGAAAATGCCAAGTTTTTGATAAAATTTAAGGGTAATATGAAAAATATAAGCACTTTGCTGGAACTTTTGACACTATTTCTATCCTCAAAACACTCAGAGAATCTAGGTTATAAATTGAAGATACTGAAAAGAATATATGCTAAAAATGTGGAAATAATTTTTAGGACTCAAATGTAATCAAATTTAGGAAATGTTAGTAATAATGTTGTATGCCAAGGAAAAGCTTTCTGAACTTGGGCACCTCCTTACCCATTCCTTGTGAAACGTCCAGAGATTCATTTTTGTCAGCACCTTGAGATGATCCTTGAGAGAGAGTTCACAGGAACAAAAATGTACATAGGTCTGAGATAGACCCTGTAAAGACAATTGATTAATTGCAGCTTAAATACAGTTGTCACACAGAGATGAAGAGATTGACTTTTTCCACTACACTTAATGCCCTCGAGGTCAAGGTAGGATGTTGCATATCTTTTTTTAATTTATTTTTTTGAGGAAGATTAGCCCTGAGCTAACATCCACCTCCAATCCTCCTTTTTGCTGAGGAAGGTTGGCCCTGAGTTAACATCTGTGCCCATCTTCCTCTACTTTATATGTGGGATGCTGTCAGCATGGCTTGATAAGCGGTGCATAGGTCCACACCCAGGATCCAAACTGGCAAACCCTGGGCCACCAAAGCACCAGAACTTAACTGCTGCCACTGGCCGGCCTCGGGATGTTTCGTATCTTTTTATGGCTGAATAGTATTTTGTTGTCTGGATGTACCAGAATTGGTTCAACTTTTCACTCACTGAAGGACATTTGGGTTGTTTTTAGTGTTTTGCTATTATGAGTGAAGCTGCTGTGAATATTTGGGTGCAGGTTTTTGTGTGAACGTAGGGTTTCATTTCTTTGGGATAAATGCCCAAGAGTGCGATTGCTGAGTCATATGGTTAGTGCCTGTTTAATTTTGCAAGAAACTGCCAGGCTATTTTTCAGAGATCCTCACCAGCAGTATTTGAGAGATTGAGCGTCTCTGCAGCCTCAGTAGCATTAACTATAATCACTATTTTTAATTTTAGTTCTAATAGGTATGTGGTGATATTTCATTGTGGTGGTCATAAGTTTTCTTTTTGAGTGAGTAACTGACATTAACTTATTCTCCCCCTAGAAAAATGTCTAGATACGATTTATTTACAAAAACAAATGTATTTGCATTATTACTGTTAACACATTAGCAGTGTTTCAGAGCACGAAACCCTGGGTCAAGTTCTACGATTTAAACGGGTGATAATATAAAAATTACTCTATACCAGATGGTGAAATATTATCAACTTTAAAAACCAGATTACAATAATATTCTCAACAGAAAAGGATGAAGGCAAACGTCAAAAACCTCAATATGGACTGGGACCAAGATGGTGACATAGCAGGCTGCTGAATTTCCCTCCTCCCACGGACACACTGAATCTTTAGCTACACGTGGAACATTTCCCTCTGAGAGAAATCTAGAAACTGGCTGAGTGACTCCTACACATTGGACAAATGAGGAAATATATTGAAAGGGTAGGAAAGGCTGAGAATCTTGACATAAACCCCACCCCCAGCACAGTGCCATGCAATTGGGAGGGAACCCCCTACTCCCAGCTTCTCCCTGAGGACCAGAGGGTTAGGACTGCACATTTATTGCCCCAGCTTTGAGGACTCACACCTGAGTGATGGGCTTCCAAAACACTTAGCTCTGAAAGCCATCGGGGCTTGCGTTCATGAGTCCTACAGCATTGTAGCCAACAAAGAAGCAGCTCTTAATGGGAGCATTGTGGGAGCGTGAGTGCTCCCTGTGGCTTTTCTACAGTGGCTCAGTGCAGAAAAACACCCACCTCCCAGTCTTTCCCTGGAAGGAGGTTGACTGCATACTTTATGAGCTGCTGCCTGAGGGTCCAGCCTCTAATTAGCGCTCACCTAGTTACTGGCTGTGATGCCTCTGGAGCTGGGGGAACCAGTGGGCACGTCCCCCACCTCCTCCCTTGACTCCAACAATAAAATCAAGTTGTCAGCTTGATTTTGACATCTCCCTTGTGCACACATGTAGTGCCCCAACTTTTATGGCTGCCATCTGAGGGATGTGTCCCAAATCACCTAGCTCTGATAGCCAGAGGGTCTTGCATTCATAAGTTCCACAGAACTAGAGCAAACAAAGAAGCTATTGTTAACGAGCAAGCAGGTACTTCCTGTGGCTAGCCCCCAAAGTTCAGTACAGAGGGAGCAGGCAGAAATGCCCATCTTCTAGTCTTTCTCTGGAAGGGGTTTGACTGCATACCTCACAAGCTGCTGGCTGAGGGTCTGGCCTCTAATGACCACACACCAGGTGCTGACTGTGATTTTCCCTGGAGCCTGAAATAGCTGGTGGACACTTCTCCTACCTTCTCCTTCCAACTTGCACCGTTAATAAAGCCAACTTGCCTATACCTCTCAGGAAGGAGCTTGTCCATACATCTAGCAGTTCAGTTTTTTTTTTTTTTTTTTTTAAAGATTTTATTTTTTCCTTTTTTCTCCCCAAAGCCCCCCGGTGCATAGTTGTATATTCTTCGTTGTGGGTCCTTCTAGTTGTGGCATGTGGGACGCTGCCTCAGCGTGGTTTGATGAGCAGTGCCGTGTCCGCGCCCAGGATTTGAACCAACGAAACACTGGGCCACCTGCAGCGGAGCGTGTGAACTTAACCACTCGGCCACGGGGCCAGCCCCGCAGTTCAGTTTTTATGGCTACCACTGAGGGATGGGCCCCCTCCCCTAGCTGTCACAGCCTGCAGGACTTGCATTTATGAGCCCACAAGACTATATAGCAAACAAAGAAACAGTTTTGAAATGAGTGCAGGAGCACCCCCTGTGGCTGTACACCTGGGCTCCGCACAGAGGGAACAGACAAGAACACTTGTCTCCCAGTTTGTCCTTGGAAGGAATTTAACTACATACTTTCTCAGCTTGTGCCTGGATAGTCCGTCTTCTAATCAACCTGCCTCTAAGTGCTGACTGTGGTCCTCTCCCTGTGGACAGCAACACACCTGGGCGTACCTTCAACTGCTGGAAGCCTCTGTGAACAAAGACAGCAGCTTGGACAGTCACAAAGGTTTGAGAGGCAACCAGGGGCCTGGGCTAGGCTAATTAATAAGATTCATCTACACAAGACTGCTCTCAAGACTAGAAGAGGTGACTGTTGTATCTAATATGAAGAAACCAACACAAGGAGTCACAAAAAATTAAGAAATGAGGGAATATGTTCCAAACAATAAAGCAAGGTAACTCTCCAGAAACTGATAGTAATGAAATGGAGATAAGTGATTTACCCAATGGAAAATTCAACGTAACAATCATAAAGATGCTCACAGAGGTCAAGAGTGCAGTGTATGAACAAAGTGAGAATTTCAATAAAGGGATAGAAAATATAAAAAAGTACCAAACAGAAATCACAGAGCTGAAGGATACATTAACTGAACTGAAGAATTCAGTAGAGGGGTTCAAAGCAGACTAGATGAAGCAGAAGAAAGGATCAGTAAACTTGAAGACAGGGCAGTGGAGTTCATCCAATCAGAGGAGCAAAAAGAAAAAAAATGAAAAAGAGTGAAGATAACTTAAGGGACTAAGGGGCACCATGATGCAGACCAATATACACATTATGCTTGTCTGAGAAGGAGAAGAGAGAGAGAAAGGGGTAGAGAAAGCTTACTCAAAGAAATAATGGCTGAAAACTTCCCTACCTGGGAGAAGAAACAGACATGCAGATTCAAGAAGCCTGAAGAGTACAAAAAAGGTGAATTAGAGAGACCCACACCGAGACACATTATAATTAGGTTGTCAGAAGTTAAAGACAAAGAGAGAATCTTAAAAGCAACAAGAGAAAAGCAACATGTTATATACCAGGGAACCCCCATGACACAATCAGCAGATTTTTCAGGGTAAACTTTGCACGCCAGAAGGGAGTGGGATGATATATTCAAAGGGCTGAAACAAAAAAAATTGCCATGCAAAAATACTCTACATGGCAGAATTGTCCTTTAGAACTGAAGGAGAGAGAGAATTTTCTAGACAAAGAAAAGCTAAAATGTTAAAGGGAGTTCTTCAAGCTGAAACAAAAGGATGCTACTTAGTAACATGAAAACATATGAAAGCATAAAGTTCATTGGTAAAGGTAAATATATAGTTAACATGAATAATATTGTAGTGGTCATGGGTAAATCACTTTTAACTG